GTAGCTGCAGACAAGAAGCACCTACTGCATGAAGCCCTGTGTAGATCTAAGGGTCAAGGACTAAAAAGAGGAAGGTCTTGGATGGCGCAAGCTGAAGACAAGCTTGGATATGTGTGCAGGCTCGATAAATTTTAAGCGGGGAGAGGAGTGGGTCAAAGTGTCCTAGCAGGTTGCAGACTTGTGTAAGGTTCTTATCACTTTGAGTAGTGAGTGCAGGGACTGGCCAGCTGGTGCTGCAGAATCTATCCAGAGTGTTCTCGTCATTCGTCTAAAAACCATTTCTCCGCCGATTGTAGATGAATGGGAGTCGCCGTGGCGTAGTGGCTAGATGTTCACGGACGGATCGGAAGGTCGTGGGGTCACTCCTTGGTGGAGCCGGACTTTTTTCAAAAATGACCGAATCGCAGGTCGACCCAGCCTTGAGTGGGTACCGGGTACAGTCCCGGGAAGTAAAGGCGGCCGTCGTGATGCTGACCACATCACCCATCTTGTGCCGATTGGTCTATAAAAATATAGGTCTAGCCCTATAGCGTGGAAAAGGGTCCTTTGTTTTAACTGTAGATGAGGTTTTACAAATCGTCCAGATGTTAATGCTTTACTTTGATGTACAAGAAAAAAGATTTAAAAAGCTACTGAGAATTCTCTATTTTATCTCAACTGACAAGGAAAGATTGAATATTCTTCATTTTGTAACATTCTTCAATGAATAGAAATAAATTGATACTGTTGAATTACGATCAGGAATTGGAATAAAAGGATATTGTGGGAATAATTGAGATATGGATTGAAAAGGATTTCAGGACTGAGATACACTGAGACAAATGGAAACAACTTATTCTGGGAATTGAGTGAGTGAGTGACTTTCTACCCCACTAGGACATCACACAAGCGATAAACACCCGATGACACAACGTGCCACCATGTGGACGAGGATCGCCGTGGAGAGGTCCCAGAAACCGCGTTCAGACATTTGGCCATTTTTATGGCCTGCCTATATTGCGGCCCCTGGCAAAAGCCAGAGTGGGGCTTCAAATAACAAAAAATTACGTCCTAAAAAAGACATAGGTAAGTAACGATTCTGGGAATTAATGATTCATAATGGGTCTACTACTAATGACTGTCAGGAAAATTGGGTCATGAAAATGGCAAAACATGAATATTCATGGATACCAGGGGGAATAATAATGTGGGTTATGGTGGATTAATGAAATGGGGTGGGGGAAACACAATAAAGAACCGGGAATTAATGGAATAATGGGACTAGGATAGATGGAGATACAACATAAATTAAAAACAATGGTTTTTCGTTTTCTCAGTTGACCCGGCTATAAACTCTGGTGAAAAAGTCTGGTCTTTCCCTTCTGGTCTTGTTCTAGAATGTGAGTTAATTTGAGTTTCATGTACACATTGATTTTACAGATCTGGCTTTTCTGTATGCAGATTGTAGGTCACTAGCGTCTCAGGCAGATGCACTCATTGAAAGAAACACCCCCCCCCCCTCGCCAATTAATCGTCCCCTGTGACATGCTCATTGGAGTGTAGTGGGTCTATCACCGCCCCCCCCCCCCCTTTTTTTTTACCCCCCAATGTGACTCCAGAACCCATACAGGGATATAAACATGCTAATGCTGATCACTGATAAATGAAGTCTTATGAATAAACACCAACACAATTTGCCTCTTCACCTTTATTCTTCTTTAAATTTGAAAAAAATACTACTACTGCTAAAGAATCAAGAAAATGAAAGTCACATTCAATTAAAAAAAACAAAAGGAAAAAAAGAAAAATTCACGGTGCTTTCTTGATATCCTACCCCAGCTGACGTCATCGGACAACTTTTTAGTGGGTGGTAAGACTGGGTTTCCCGGCTTTCTGATGCTTCTAACGATCCAAAAACATATAGAACTGGCCCTAACCCAACCCACCTATGTCCCACGAGAGAGTGCAGCCTAGATCCCATGACTGCATGCAGCCCAGGTCCCACGACTGCATGCAACCTATCTACCAGCCCCTGAAATATTAGACTGTCCTGTGACTTGCGTATTTCCCCTGTCTGGGGTAGGATATTAATAAAGCACCAAATCCACATACCAAATCCCACAGCAGTGTTTACATATTCTAATAATCATTATAATTCAGGAAACAACTTAAGAAGAGTCCCTCACAGTGAAATGTTCACAGTATCTCATTTTCCCATGGAGATGCTGAAGGTAAGGGGAAAACTGCTGCAAGAAGAAAGTAGTGTCTGAAGCAGTTTGAGAATCACTGTCCAAGGATAAAAGCAACAAATAATCATTCTATAAAAGTAAATATTTTATTTTATACTGAGCTAGAGAAAAACAAATGCAGTGTAAAGCAATAAAGATTTTCTAAGAATACAATATACATCTAAACTTACCAAAAAAAAAAAAAATTTCACATAGGCAAAGTGAAAAGGTTTACAATGAAATATGTCATCTGGAGTTAAGTGGTCTCGAGGCAAAGCTTCCGCCTCGATTGCTAGAGGTCCCGGGTTCAGGCACCGGTGAAGGCTGGGATTTTTTCCACATGGACTTCTAGTAATTTCCCCTGGTCTCTGGACAGCAAGGTTGGATGCCCGTGTGTATCGTTGCGCACTTAAACAATCCCTTGGCAGTTGGAAATTGAAAAGAGTAGCCAACAGCGCTGCCCGCGCAAATTTTGGAGCTAAAAATCTACCCAAAGTATTTCAGGATCCTTGCCAGTGCTACAGAGTTTGTGCTGAGATTCGTCAGACTCAGATTTGAATTAGAAGTACAACAGAGCACTTATAAGTTACCATTTGTGCGATGATGTTGATCCGCTGGTCAAACAATCTCATAAAATTATAATAAAAATCATACACTTATAAATGAAATATTCTTACACAAACTTCACTCTTTCTGGTCAAAAAGAGCTCTGCTACCCTATTGAAATATTATTCTGCCCTATGTACCCAATGGAACAGTGACCTTCCATAACCTCATGACTGGAACATTGACCTTCAATAACCTCATGACTGGAGCAGTGACCTTCAATAACCTCATGACTGGAACATTGACCTTCAATAACCTCATGACTGGAGCAGTGACCTTCAATAACCTCATGACTGGAACATTGACCTTCAATAACCTCATGACTGGAGCAGTGACCTTCAATAACCTCATGACTGGAACATTGACCTTCAATGACCTCATGACTGGAGCAGTGACCTTCAATAACCTCATGACTGGAACATTGACCTTCAATAACCTCATGACTGGAGCAGTGACCTTTAATAACCTCATGACTGGAACATTGACCTTCAATGAACTCATGACTGGAGCAGTGACCTTCAATAACCTCATGACTGGAACATTGACCTTCAATAACCTCATGACTGGAGCAGTGACCTTCAATAACCTCATGACTGGAACATTGACCTTCAATGAACTCATGACTGGAGCAGTGACCTTCAATAACCTCATGACTGGAACATTGACCTTCAATGAACTCATGACTGGAGCAAAGACCTCCAATAACCTCATGCCACCCATCTGTTAAGGTTGAATATTTAACTAAGATTACTGTCTGTAGCTACCACTGCAGTATAGGCAGAGGGAAAAAGGGCAGAGGGGGAGGGGGAACTTGAAGTCTGAGGATTTAAGAGCGCATGGCTATGCAGGTTAAGATTTTAGTTTTGTTCCTAAAGCCTTACAGAGGATTCAAATACTCCATAGAGTACCGACTGGTCTCTAAAAATATGGATCCAGCAAAAAATGCTTGATGTGACATTGGTGTGCAAAGGGTCATCAACCATCTTTCCAACCCAATATAAAACGCAAGTCATGATGTCTCTCTCCCCCCCCCCCCCCCCCACCACAAACACATTTTACACAGGTCACTAAAAATAAGTTTCTCAAAATTTTTCTTCATGTTTTGTTTTTCAAAACATATAAAGATATAAAAGGGAGTAATCAATAAACAGAGTGAAGCATTACATTGAAAACATTCCATGGGGCCTAAAATCATATTATTGGGTGACTCGTACCAGGACCCTCCTGGCCAATCATCACTGATGTGTTCAAATAATTAATGATGTCAATTTAGCTTTAAAAAAGGAAACTGGTTCACACCCCCCCCCCCCCTTGCTATTTTTAGTAACTATATCTATATCTTGATGTCCTAATTGCTGCTCAGATGGACACACAGCCAAACAGCATTAACTGTGCGTCTCATAAACTCACACCCCTACATACATTATGCACCTCCCTTACAGGAAGACCGTGATGAGAACAATGTTCTGCAAAAGATCTGCGATGTGATGATGATGGTGTTATATTTTACTCTTCTAGATGCAAGTTTGAGAACATTAAACTAACACATGCTTGAGACACAATGAATTATAGCAGTGGTTTTCAACCTTCCGAATGCTGCGACCCTTTAATACAGTTTCTCATGTTGTTGGCGACGACCCCCAATCATACAATTATTTTCATCGCTACTTCATAACATCAACAAATTTTTGTTATGTGTTGGTCTTTGGCGACCCATGATAAAGGGTCGTTCCACTCAAAAAACGATCGCAACTCATAGGTTGAGAACCGCTGAAAAAGAGTAACATCTAACTAGGACATAAACAATGAACTTAAAAATATTGTGCTTAGTAATTTGTAAACACTGATAATGCAACATGTATACTTCATAAAACACATGTAAAAACAATAAAGATGAAACGACAGGAAGTCTGGTGTACAAATTAAACATATAAAAACATCTAGCAGGTGCTTAGATGACCGTCACTGTAGAATTTCAAAATCCATCCACAATAGATAAATTTTATTCCAACACATCTCATATTTTAATAATGAACAGGAAAGAATGTAACAAGTAATCTCTGGTTACTAAAACAATTACAAAAATAGAAGTATGTATACAGACATAAAATCTGTTTATGTACGATGTTGATGCAGCTCTTTTCTGTCAGTCCCGAGTACAGAACACAGTACAGGTAATTTGCTGTATCAGTTAGTGACAGCCTTGTAGCCAAGCCTCAACACCATTAGTAAACTGAAAGAGAAAGACAAAAATATTATTTCTACTTCTTGTATTGTTTGTTTCTATTAAATCATTTTAACAGCTGTACCATACCAATATTACTTCATTACTGAGGTATTATTACTGAGGTACTCGAAAGAGCAGGTACTACAACAGTCTTTTCCATGCTCAGTCTACGAAGGCTCAGGTGGCTGGAGAATGGAGGATGGCAGTGTCCCTAAGGACATCCTTTATGGTGAATTAAAGACAGGTAGAAGATGTTGAGGCCGACCTCTACTACGGTATAAAGATGTGTGCAAGCGGGACATGAATGATACAGGTATTGAGGTGGACTCATAGGAACAAAATGCCACGGACTGTGTTGTGTGGAAAGGGCATATCAGGAAGAGAATGAGAGTGAAGGAAGAAATGACTGCAAAAAGGATGAGAGCTGAGCCTTTGAAAACAAATGGATTAAACACAAATGTTGACATCAATAGTCCTGAAATCCCATGCTATCATTGTGGAATACTTTTCTTGGCCCCAGAAGGGAGGGGGGTTTGCGTCACACTCGCCATCGCCATGCACTGTGAGTCTCATGCCTCCTCATAGTGAAATATAACACTATCGTCTGGAAAGATGAAAAGGTGCCAATTCATCCAATCCTAACCTATTTTACTGTATAGTTGTTAATCATGCAATGTCAATGCACAAATCAGAAAGAACTTGGAGGCAATGGAGATGTGGTTTCTCATGTGAATGTTAACAATCCCTTGGACTGACAGAGTAACCAATGAGGACTGCCTGAAAGAAGCTAATGAAAGCAGATCAATATCTACAGCTATAAGGAAAAGATAAGCACTGTTCTTTGTTCATTTGATGAGGGAGGGGGCTTTGGAGAATATTGTATCAACTGGGGAGACCTATGGTAGAAGAGGGAGATGCAGACCAAGAGAGATGATGACGGATGGACTGCGATGGTGGCACGGAGGGATATCATTGGCGCCTATGCCAGTCAGGAGGGCATGTGATGATGATGAGCTGTACCACTGGTGTTAAGGATCAGGCACGGCCGAGAGCAGTTTTTCACAGAAGTCACACCATTTTTTAAATTGCTACCCCTCTCATACACTTGCAGGAATGAACAGCATGCATCATCATAGTGGACTATCATTTACTGATGAATTTCTATAGGTTACACCCCTTCACTGGTCACAACAACAACAACAAAAATAATTAAATGCTCCTCCTCTCTGGTGCATGTTAAAAGTGGGATGGCCATCTTTAAACTGCCATTATTACATCCCTATGTTCGTCTGCACCGTGATGTCATGTGCTTAACACTCTTGATATCCTTAACAACACAACTAACAGGTCACTAGACCATAGCATGGTTATGGTAACTGTTATTACAATGTTAAGATTTTCATTTGAAGCTATCTCATACATATTCAACATAATCATGATGGCTAAACGGCTAGCGCACTAGTTTACTAAGGCAGCGGTTCTGGGCTCACTCTCAAGAGTGGCAAGATTCTCTTCTCCACCAAACAGGGAAAAAGTTTGCAACCTAACAATAACCTCATATTTTTTTAAACCCTGTCCTACAAACTTGATTGGATTAGTAATAGTTATGATGGTTTGAACATGCATGCAGAAGTGGAGTGAACTGGCCATCACAGCTTGCATGGGAGACTAAGAATCATACCTCCAGGACCATTCAGGGACTGACAGTCCCTAACTGGAATGGAACAAAACCAAAAAGAAAACTGCTGACAAAGAAGTCAGTCGATCTCTCTGAAAATATTTACACCTCAGGACAGAAGATGATCGACTATGTAAAGTAGCCAATGCACTACCCTAGTTTGCGATATGAAAAATAGCATAACTACATATCAACAGAGTAACCCTGTTAAAAATCACCATAGAAATGACAATAACAATCTTTAGTGGTGTATTACCTCAGGGTTCCAACTAAACCAGCTGGCATGAACTTTCCAGAATTTGCAAACCTGTACCCCATAACACCAGTCAGCACGGCTGAAGTCACTGAAACACAGACAAGTTTAAGACATTGTTACTTTTAGCAATTCCCCCCCCCCCCCCCCCCCCCCCCCCCCCCCGTGAACTTTCCATATTCTGCTACTTTTTCCAATTTGCTGTGATGCTTGATATGGCCAAAATATTTCAGTTTCTAAGACAAGATGCTGTTTACTAGTCAATCTTCCTTCACGTTCAGATCTTTTAAGATGTCAGTATGCCTTTTCTTCTTGGTCCATGGTATTCTGAGAATCTTCCTAGAGCTTTTCATTTCAAAGGCCCCTATTTTCTTTCTTATAATGAATGTGAGATAGTCCACCACCCACATCCAAATGTTGCTACAGGGAAGATACATGCCCTCCAAATTTTCACCTCAAATTTCTTGTTGGTGCTTGACAATAGACTTTTAATATTCAAATATATTAAAAGAAATTATTTTATTGTTCTAGACATTGCATACGGTATTAGAAAGGCAAAGAAGGACATAGAAGATGGACTGCAGGAGTTACTAACAATCTGAGACTTTATAACACACCAGTATACCAAATAACCTAGTTAGATTTTGGCTTGGCTACTGATCAAATCAGTTGAGACAAGAAAGAGAATTCTTAAAACTGCCTCAAAAACAAGCATGTAGGAGTCGACTAACTGGGGACTTCCTTTGAATTTGGAGTGCATCTGCCTAAATGGCAGGGAACAACGAACTACACATAAATAAGCCAGTAAAATGGATGTACACACAAAACTCAGGCCCTAGTACAAAGCCAAATTCCAGATGGAGGAACAACCAGATGGACAGACTTTCCACCTGAGCTTACAGCCGATGAACAAAGAAGAAGAGGAGGAAGAAGAGTTTAGTGACAAAAGAAAAAATGCCAGCAAAGTATCAACCTGAAAAAGAAAAAAAAAACGGCACATACCTAAGGCTAAAGTAACATTTTTTGGATCCTGCTTCATCTGATAAGCCCCAAACATCACCAACGTTCCACAGGCCACACCCATCGCCAGCGATGGTGTGCTTCCTGTTATTAAAGAAGAAAAAAACATTGATATAATTTAATATAGTGACCTTATAGTATTCATCTGTTTCTTGCATATGCCCCACTGTCTGTCCACCCATGCTAAATTTTAAATTTTCTACAACAGCTAAGTTTAAAATGTCACAGGATTAGTGTGTGTGTGTGTGGCTTGCCTATGTTCACTCACTCTCTCTCTTTTTCACTCACTCACTCATTCACACACACACAAACACTCTTCTATTATCTCTTTAAAAAAATTTAGTGATTAAAGAATCTATTTAAAAAAAAAAAAAAGCAAAGTAACAACCTTGAAAACAAAACCTGCACATACCTAAGGCTAGGTAACATTGGTTCGATTGCAGGAATGAATGAACGAATGAATCAAGAATGGGTTTCAATGCACTCAGGGCATTCCCACGCAGGTTCTGTTCCTTTCCTCAGTCACCAAAGAGTTTGAGCATTGATGAGGGCCAGCTGCAACCACATTAAAAGTCCACCTGCCTTTCCTGTTAAGTCCTGAGAAATCAGCCATATTATCTGCTCACTTCTTGTTGAATCAGCCTCTTGAGGTATGGATGTTCTGTCTGCAATGCTGCATTGTTCCCTCATTAGCATGCAACAGTGCAGAAATGCCAAGCAATTTATCACTGTTTTTCTCACTGTCAGTGAACGAACGATCAAACTTTATTTTCAAAGGGTAACAAATTGGGCATGCAGGCCCGTCTTACATTTGGCCCTGCCAATCACCCATCTTTTGCACAGCAGTTGTATTTTACTAATAAAGCATGTTATGATCATAATTATGATATGCACAGTATGAATATCATAAAAGAACACAAAAGCATGGGTTGTAAAATACATGCAAAAACCCACACGCCCATACACACACCCACATGCTCACCCACACATACATGCAAGAATACATATACATACACACATACATACAGGCATGCATGGAGACACACGAACACACACACCCACAGACTCACCCACTGACACACACTCTCATGCAGACATAGTCTTTTAGGGGTATATTTTTCTTCTATGATGCACAATACTATTTCGCCTTAATAATTCTTGTCCTAACCTATCACTACCGACGATCAACCTATGATGCTGACATTATTAATCATTTAATGCCCTCAGAGAAGTGGGAAGGGTGGAGGACTTTGGGGCAGTGAATCCACACCACTCGCCAAGATGATAGATAGCCTTGTGAGATAAAATCGGCATTGCAAAAAACGAGACGCACACCAGAGGACATGTTAATCAACATAGAACTGGTACTGTTACTACCGGAAGCTAGGTTTCACACTGAGGAAAGGATCTGAGAACATTATACATGTCCGGAGTGCTGATGTTTATCCCACTAAGAGTTAACAAACAAGAAATAATAGCATTTCCTGTCCAGACAATAAGAAATGTATTCTAACCTGCTTTGACATAGCCAATAATACCACCAGCAGCAATGGTTGCCGCATAAAGAGCTGTTAAAACGTCTACGGGCATTCTAGAGTTACAAAAACCACCAAAGTCTGTTAGATAGCTAGATCATCGACACGACTGCTGCACAAATATTGCAGTTACCGTCCCTGGTTGTCATAAAATGTTGTAGACATAAAGTTAGTGCAATAATTCGATAGTGACATAAATTTCTACTCATCCTACATTTATTATATAATTTAATAATAAAACAATATTATTATTACCATTCTTAATTTATTTCAATATGTTAAAAAAATGAATACTTCTTGAAAGATAGACACCTTACTATATTATTGTTTCTTTATAGAAGTACAAGATTTTAGCATGTCAGGGTTTGAAGATGGCGGCACCCAGTGATAGCAGTAGCAGGAGATCGATTGTTCCGTACAAGCAGGTTTCTGTTTCTTTGATAAGAATACCGTGTCACACATTACAGTTTATCTCGAAAGAAATATAAATAATGACAAGCAGATATCTATAATACTTCCATATAACAAGTAAAGTAACACACTCATACTCATGATACTCCTCTTACTTCTGCAGCTTCAATCAATCACCACTCCAACAATCATAATAATACTATACTATTATTACTATATTAGTATTAAATTAATACTATTAATAATTCCTCTGTTTTCCATAAAGTTAGCCTTACCCATGAACCATCACTTTGTGATCATAATCTGTTCTTGTAATCTGACAAAACCAAGAAAAGACACTGATGACTGAGGCTATTATTATTATCTTCTGAATAACGGTCCCAAATATTATATTATTATCGAGGCCGAAAATATACCCTAACAGAGCCGCCTCAGTCACATGTAAGTTGCGGACTTCCTGCGACTTAAATTGCGCACTTTCGGCGACTACCACCACCGCCGAGAGTATCTCCAACGCCGTTACGCGTGGGGTGGTGTGGGGCTAAACTAGATGGCTGGGACTCACGGGCAGCAGCTACCGCATCTCCTGCAGCTTCCTTCACACTTCATTTTATTTGCTCATGAGTCCCAGCCATATATTTTAGCCCCATTCCACCCCGGGCGTAGTGGCGTGGGAGATACTCTCGGTGGTAGCGGAATTCCGTAATTTACATGTGACTGAGGCCCTGTTAGGGTATATTTTCGGCCTCGATAATTTGGGACCATTATTCGGAATATAGCCAACACTGAAATTGAAATAGGTTGTTTAAAAATTTATAAACAGTTATCAAATTTCATGAATAAAAAAAGGGCACTCTTCCGAATACCGGTCCCAAATAAATCACTACAAAATAACATCAGTTTAAGAGCCTCAAGAGGTTATGTAGTAAAAACATTTAGGCCATCATCATCAGTTTTCACTTCTGCCTTTATTGCTCAGTGGATAGCAATGTTTAGACGTTAGGCTAAGGGCTGTGGGGAGTAATAGTTTTGACCCATTGTTTGAGCGCTGTGGGGAGGAGTCGTTTTTGATTCATTAAAGCGGTCTGGGGAGGAATAGTTTTTGATCCATTGTTTGAGCGCTGTGGGGAGGAGTCGTTTTTGATCCATTAAAGCGCTGTGGGGAGGAGTCATTTTTGATCCATTAAAGCGGTCTGGGGAGGAATAGTTTTTGATCCATTGTGTGAGCGCTGTGGGGAGGAGTCATTTTTGATCCATTAAAGCGGTCTGGGGAGGAATAGTTTTTGATCCATTGTTTGAGCGCTGTGGGGAGGAGTCGTTTTTGATCCATTAAAGCGCTGTGGGGAGGAGTCATTTTTGATCCATTGTTTGAGCGCTGTGGGGAGGAGTCATTTTTGATCCATTAAAGCGGTCTGGGGAGGAATAGTTTTTAATCCATTGTTTGAGCGCTGTGGGGAGGAGTCGTTTTTGATCCATTAAAGCGGTCTGGGGAGGAATAGTTTTTGATCCATTGTGTGAGCGCTGTGGGAAGGAGTCGTTTTTGATCCATTAAAGCGCTGTGGGGAGGAGTCATTTTTGATCCATTAAAGCGGTCTGGGGAGGAATAGTTTTTGATCCATTGTTTGAGCGCTGTGGGAAGGAGTAATTTTTGATCCATTAAAGCGCTGTGGGGAGGAGTAATTTTTGATCCATTAAATCGCTGTGGGAAGGAGTCGTTTTTGATCCATTAAAGTGCTGTGGAGAGGAGTCGTTTTTGATCCATTAAAGCGGTCAGAAGAGGATTAGTTTTTGATCCATTAAAGCGCCCTGGGGAGGAATGGTTTTTGCTCTATTGTTTACAATACACGTGACTCGCTTTGAGATTTTTGAGAAAAAAAATTGCATATATCGCAGCCTAGCTGTAAACCACATGTCAACAGCCTTTTTTAAGGGCTAAACAATTTTTTTTTTACCCGGCGGTGATTTGAACACTGGTCATCCGCGTGATGGGCAGAATACTTACAACTGTACCACCTAATATTCAGAGTAAGGTGCATAAGGAATTATATAAAACACGAAGCCTAATTTTTATTGTTTCTATTCCATATTTTCAACTATATGACCTCTTGAGGTCCTGGATGGGATGTTTTTAACAGTGAATAATTTGGGATCGGTATTCAGAAAAATGCCAAAAAAAAAAGTATTAGTACAACTTTATTTGGTAACAGTAATGTACAATTGTTTGTGTGAATACAATTCTAACATAAGCAGTCAAATAGTGCGTACTTTTCATTTGTGATTGCAGCATTGTTCTTGTCTTTAACTTATGTTTATATATGTAGCCTCCAGACTTCTGTCATGATATTATGGGCCTTACATATTGTTTTTTTGTTTCAGGCAGCAGATGAGGTTTTAGGTCACCATACAGAAGTTGTTGTCAACAAATTTGAAGATCATCTTTTTGTCATTGTTACCCAGTACATGAAAATAGGCACTGTGGTGAGATACCTTCTTGCTTAGATCTAAGTTGTTTTTGACTCATTCTTTAGCAAACAACTTACTGTACTTTGATAAGTTGGTCACTTCTTTATAATTTTATCATGTATGGTTTGAGGTTGGAACAGCGGAGCAACATCATGGCACACAGATAGTAACCCATAAGTGCTCCGTTCTTCATTCTAACTCAAGTCTGAGTCCAAAGAAGCTCAGCACAGTGCGAGGATCCTGATATACTTTGGGTAGATTTTTAACTCCAAATTTTGCCCAGGCAGTCCAGAGTTTGAGGCTACTTTTTCAATTTCCAACTGCCAAGGGATTTTTTATGTGCACAACAATACACACGGGTGTCCGATCTCACTACCCAGAGACCAGGGGGAATTACTTAAGTCCAAGTCAGCGTGAAAAGATCCCAGCCGTTACCGGGGATTGAACCCGGAACCTCTAGCACTTGAGGCAGACACCATGCCTCGGGACCACGCTGCCCTCTTTATCATATGTCACCACACTTAGAATAAGCCCATAAGTGTTGTCGCACCCAGGAAATTTCAAAGGTGAGGATGCTGTCTGTCATAGCTGCAAGCTCGTGTGCTACAGGTCAGGGTCACCCATGTCTTTTCTTATTGCGACATTTGCATACTCCGATTTCTACTCCAGAACAGATCTGCTGCCCCAGACAAAGATGTTGTAAAAGGTTAGGGTTTGATGAAATCAGATGCGAGGCCAAAAGGCACACGTTTCGCAGCCTAGTTGTAAACCACAGCACAACATGCCAACTACCCTAAGGGTGAGTGAAGAAGAAGAAGAAATCACTTCTCCAACATCCTTAACTGAGCCTGAACAAGCCTTTCAGATTGTCTCTAAATGATCTCGGTCTCAGACAATTGAAAAGGGTGTTTAAAGGTTGGACATGTATGTTGCACTGACTTCTGGTTCATATGACTGGCTGACTAAATGGAGTGGTTGGTCACCCCATAAGAGCAAAACACCAAACCCTCATTACTTAAGCAGTAACTCAAAGGGATCTCTGGAAGATTTCTAAAATAAAATAGCAGAATGACAACTTGATGTTTGTTTATAATTACATTTTTTCACTACTTATAGGCTATTGAATATAGATAATCATACTACACTTTCTTCATTGGAACACAGTTAAGGCACACACACACACAAAATACAACAACAGAGGAATCTGGAGAAAGTGGAGTATCTGGCATCCCTATCTGAAAGACTGGTACTTGTTGAACACACACACACAAATCTGAAGCTCTGTAATGAAAAAAATGTCAGTACAGATGAGAAGTAGAACTAGCTAGTATCACAGTCACAAATGACAAAATGAACACTGCGATCAGAACGCCTTAATCAAATATACAATTATATAGTTACAAATAAATAAGAGTACATACAATCACATAACTTTACAATGAGGCCGGCCACAAAATCTCCATCCATGCTTGAAATGTAAAGTCTGCATTCTGATCTTGAGAGTGCAAGTCAAATGTCTTTGAGACCCAAATGACTTCACAGCAGAAACCCAGTCTGGCACAATAACTACAGCATCAAGGTATCAGTATGCCACTTTCACAGATACAAGGTACATTGTAAAAAATATGTAAAGGACCCTTTCCATGCCCTCTGGTTGGCATATAAGGCTAGACCTACACTTTATAGTCTAAACTGCACTCAGAGGGTGATATATACACTGCGGCATAGTAAAATATTTAGCACACACAGACCAGACGTTAAAAATCTAACACACTTTGTGTCGTGGTGATACACAGGGGTAATGACTAATAACACACTGTGCGTTGGTCAGGTCAGAAAGAGTTTACCACGTCGCCACAGACACCATCTCTGTCTCAGACCGGGGATGCTTTTACCCACTGTACGTGAACTGTTATTAGGCTGGTCATCTACAGTGGGTTCCGGAACATATTATAAGAAGTTAAGGTGGCTCATATGATATTGTCTAAATCACCCATTGTCTGCCAGTCACTGTGTTATGGTATATGGCTAGCACTATTTGGATGGGGAGCTGCAGTACTGAGGCGGTTAGATACTCACCTGACAGCCTTAACAGTTACTGGTGCCATAGGTATTGGAACTCTTTGCTTGCTGCTGAAGATGCAAGACGGATCGCTTATGGGAGTGTCGATTTTTAATTTAACATTCTGACAGCCCAAAGGTCCTTGGTTCATACCTGCATCAAGGTTGGTTTTTTTTCTTCCAAAATTAATCTTGGCTCCCAGGTCGACCCAGCCTAAAATGGGTACCAGGTTATATCCTCGTATTATTGGTTATCCTCGGAAGTAAAGGCTGCTAGGGTGCCTTGGAAGTAAAGGCTGCTAGAGTGCCTTGGAAGTAAAGGCTGCTAGGGTGCCTTGGAAGTAAAGGCTGCTAGGGTGCCTTGGAAGTAAAGGCTGCTAGGGTGCCTTGGAAGTAAAGGCTGCTAGGGTGCCTTGGAAGTAAAGGCTGCTAGGGTGCCTTGGAAGTAAAGGCTGCCAGTGTGCCTTGGAAGTAAAGGCTGCTAGTGTGCCTTGGAAGTAAAGGCTGCCAGGGTGCCTTGGAAGTAAAGGCTGCTAGGGTGCCTTGGAAGTAAAGGCTGCTCGGGTGCCTTGGAAGTAAAGGTTGCTAGGGTGCCTTGGAAGTAAAGGCTGCTAGGGTGCCTTGGAAGTAAAGGCTGCTAGGGTGCCTTGGAAGTAAAGGCTGCTAGGGTGCCTTGGAAGTAAAGGCTGCTAGGGTGCCTTGGAAGTAAAGGCTGCTAGCATGATGATTGGTCCATAAATATATGTGCAGCCTCATATGCCCAACCCATCATTTGCATTAGGACAGCTTTTTTTTTTTATACCTATTATCTGTATATATATCTTTTAGCTTTTTTTTTAATACATATTATCTGTATATATATCTTTTAGCTTTTTTTTTTATACCCATTATCTGTATATATATCTTTTAGCTTTTTTTTTTATACCTATTATCTGTATATATATCTTTTAGCTTTTTTTATACCCAGTATCTGGATATATATATCTTTTAGTTTTTTACCTAGTATCTGGATATATGTCGTTTAGTTTTTTAAAATCTGGATATATATCCTCTATTTTTTTTAGCCTTATATCTGGATATATATTCTTTAGTTTTTTAACCAAGTATTTGAATATCTTTAGTTTTTTTTTTTTTACCTAATATCTGAATAAATATCCTTTAGTTTTTTGTGTGTGTGCCTGGTATCTGAATATATATCATTTAGTTTTTAATCTAGTATCTGGATATATATCATTTATTTTTTTTTGGGGTCTTTTTTTAACCCAATATCTGGATGTATAACATTTGCTTTAATGATATAGGTTTCTTGCTTAAATTGGCCCCAATGTGGGAGAGAAAAAAAATAGAACCTCCTCCTCACCACCAACGAGAATGTCATACAAGTCGACAAATTGGTGGTGCTTCTTTCAAAGTCGGAGTGCATCTGCCTGACAGACGAGGAACCAACGACTTGCCTACAGCTAAGCCAAACCTGTTGAAAGAATGAGCACACAAAACTCAACTTATGAAACAGGACTAAAATCCAGAAGTGGACGAACAGCCAGTACTTTCTGCCAGAGTTTACTGTCAGTGAAATCAAAGAAGAAGATGAAAAAGACAATAATCTGGTATATATTCTTGCATTTTTCCCCAAACTAAGATGAGATACTGTAATTCTAGGTAGAAGTCAGAAGAGAGTTGATCAGTGATGAGGTGCAAGGTGATATTCCTGAGTTTTCAACTAAAGTTCTGCTTGGAAAAGATGAGGTATGAATTATTTAGGCCTCACTGTTGTCCTTATTTTGTGTGTCAAAAAAGCCATGCCAGAATATGAAGGCTGATGACGTAGGAGAGGCAATTGGCAGTATTTTTTAGGATGGCTGTTTTTTCCAATCTAAAATGATGTGGCTGAAGTGTGACATGTCAGCAGCATTTTTTCTTAGTCACACATCTTCTTCTTTTTCTTTGCATTCACCAGCTGTAAACGCTGGCAGAAAGTTCTGGTTGTTCGTCCACTTCTGGCCTGCGGTCCTGTTTTAGAACCTGAGTGTTGTGTGTGCATCCGTTTGACAGATCTGACTCATTTGTAGGCAGACTGCTGGTTCCTTGCCTCTCAGGCAAATGCACTCCGACTTTGAAGGAACTCCCAATTAGTCGACTCTTACGACATGCTTTTGGTTAGGCAGTGAGTCTATTCTTGTTTTTTCTATAACAGGGCCCCGGAACCTACACGGGGAGCCACAAATAAATTATGAGAAATTGCTCGACTGAAGGAGGACAAATATCAATAACCCGGAGAAAATAAATGTAGAAAATTGCTGAGAGAAGTGTACATGGGAAGGCTGCTGTGACTTGGTCATGATTTATGGCATTAAAAAAAAAGTAAAGGACCCCTTTCCATACCTACAGGCATATAGGGCTAGACCTATATTTTATAGACCAGTCAGCGCTCAGTGGGTGATGTGGTCAACATCATGCCGGCCACATTTACTTCCCAGGACTTCTCCCCGAATTTTACCTGGTACCCATTTAAGGTTGGGTCAACCTGGAAGCACTGATGACATTAAGGTACATTGAAAAAAATCGTGAACACAAAAGTTCTTTTGCATGTGATAAAGTCTTCTTCAGCGTTCGTTATTAAAAGGGTGGCTGGCACTTTGTGTTCTGGTTAACAGCCAGACTGCAGTATCATGGATGACATTGATAGTCTGGAAAAAGATTACGATGAGAATAGAGACAAAGGAGAAGAGGACGGCAGACAGTTTGAGACATAAGCATCTGAGAAGAAACGTGTGAAATTCATTGAAGAGCAACAGAAGTCCTGAAATCTCATGCACTTTTTATGGAAGATTCATTTAACACTATCTGGTCTTGCTTGTCGCAGTAAGGCAGTAACTCCCAAGCCTGCCTATAACGAGCGCAGTGGACCATTAGAATCTGCTAAGACGAAAAGTTGCCAACAAATAAATATACGGGATCTTTTTGTTTCCATTAAAAAAAATTATTGTATATTTATCAATGACTATAAAGGATGAAAAGGTGCCAGTAAACAAATAAATAGGATCTTTTAGTTAGCTTCTTTAAAAAAAAAGAATTATATTAATCAATGATTTGATTTGATTCAAGAACCGACATCACAGCACTCAGGGCATTCCCATAAACACTCCGTCCCCATCTTCAGCAGCCAGCCAAGAGTTTGGATACTAATGTTACCAGTAGCATTCTGATTAAACGTCCGTCTTGCCTTTCCTCTGAGCCTCGAGCATCTGCCAGAATCTCTCGTCACTCCCCCCTGCATCAATCTCAACAGACTGTGGTGATCCATCGGCTCCTCCAAACTGTACACGCTCTCCCACAAGGCACTAACCACGTCTGCCTTATCATGAATCAGTATTCCACCAAGCTGTACAGAACCAGCCAGTCATTAAGAAAAAATGAAAAGGTGCCAACAACAAATATATAGGTTCTTTTAGTTTCCTTCTTTCTTTTTAAAATTTTATTAGTTATTTTATTATGTATTTTGGTCTGTCTTCATTTCTGAATCCTGTATGTTCAAATGTATAAACATTCTAAAATGTTTATTTATTTTTTGTTGTTTTTATTTCTGTCAGCCACCAAAAATATTATAAATAATTAACACATAGTACATACCAAAAGTATTAGACAAAAAATAAATATCCACTATCATAAAAGACAAAAACTATATATATCAGTTATGACCAGAAAAGGTTCAACAAGATCTAATTAAATGACTACTCTACTATTATAGTTGCAGGATTTAGGTAGTCCCATATTCTTTCAGTGACGTTGCAGAACCCCAGTAGTTGTTGGCTGTTTTGGTTTTACTAGGCAACTTTATGCTAAGTAGCTTGCCATTGCTGCCTCAACCTTCGGCTCTAGATGCCTCTGTTGAAATCAGCACAAGGCTGGATAACTGAGTCAACCAAAGTATTATTGTTATAATTTTTTGTTTGCCTTAAAGGTTACATATCTCAGCTAAGCTCATATCTTATTTACTGTGTGTGTGTATATGTATATTATTTACTTTTTCCTCAGCCAATCACACATGTTGTGGCTAAAAAAATTGTTACAGAGATAAACCCACCCATTCCAGTGATTCTCACCCTTGCCCTGAAGGACACCAGCCTAGAAACAGCGGAAGCCGTGATCAGACTGATTAAGTTATGCTTGTGACGATTGCTCATGTTATCCAAAATTTTGTTTGTATTGTCTGAAAAACATGCTTCTATTTTGTATGGCAGATGTCATATATTTGATATAAAAATTGTTTCTTTATCCCAAAAAAAAAAAAAAAGAGTTCTCACTTGTCGGCCTGAATGTCATGGCTTCATCTAGCCAGATTTTTAATAAAGAGAAGGCATTGGTTCCCAGCCCTAAATGGGTAACAGGTAAAGTCCTGGGAAGTAAAGGCTATTCAAATGATTATACATACCCACTTTGGTTGCGAGGTTACGTTTGTAACTGCTGGGGAAAGGCAATATAACCTTATGTTTGAACTGGGCTTACCTGGGTTTGTACTGCAGGATTCTCATCCTTAAGATCTTAATACTGTGGACTCAGTCCTTGATGGGACAAACTACAGTCTTGGATGGGACAAACTACAGTCTTGGATGGGACAAACTACAGTCTTGGGTGGGACAAACTACAGTCCTGGAAGGGACAAACTACATTCCTGGAAGGGACACAGTCCTGGATGGGACAAACTACAGTCCTGGAAGCGACAAACTACAATCCTGGAGGGAACAAACTTAAGTCCTGGAGGGGACAAACTACAATCCTAGAGGGGAAAAAATACAGTACTTGAGGGAACAGATAACAAACAAGTAAAGGCGGCCGGATGTAATGTTGACCATATGGCCCCCAAGTGCAGATTGGTCTAAAAATGTAGATCTAGCACTGACACTAGTACCACTGAGAGTTTTCATAAAGTGTACCGTGGTAGGAATTAGGATCGCACACGTGAGCCTCTGCTGGAGACAAGTAAAATAAACAAATTTACAAGAACTGAATGGCACTCGTAGAAAAAGTAGAGAGATAGGAAGACACACTATACAACAAAAATCGAAAGCTACAGTTATTACCCTCTAGAGATTAAACCTGTCACCTCCAAGTGACGAAGATGCTCCACTACGGAAGCAAGTGTACTAATACCTATGGCTACTCGACACCCCTAACAAAAAGGTGTCATTGTAAGACAGGTATATCAGTGTGTCCTCTTATCTCTCTGCTTCTTTCAATGAGTGCAGATCAGTACTTGAATATTTGTTTTTTATATTTACTGCCTCAAAGTTTTGCCTTCTGATTTTGACCAGTGTAATGAGGATTGGTCCATGTGAAAAAGCAAAAAATGTGTTTATTTTGTGAGTGTGTATCTGAGTGAGGTGACTCTTGTAAAGTTTGGATAGTTGAACAAATAAATATAATGGAATTAAATTCCATTTTTCTTTCAACCCTAGGGTTTTGTTGGTTTTTGAATGATTATATATCTGCATTTCTGTGTTGAAGCTAGGGAAAGTTAACACAAGACGATTAATGAAGACGTCTTGAAAGAAGTTGACTCACGAAGAGGACTGATTGCCCACATCAGAAAGAGACAATCTACATTCTTTGATCATGTGATGAGAAGGAGAAAACTGGGGTACATCATGATGGTAGGAAAGTTGGAGGGAGGGAGAGGGAGACTGAGAGAACAAAGGCTGGACAGTATGACATCATGACATGGAAGATCATCTGTGTCAGATTTGATTGAAAGTACACGAGACAGAAGGTTGCGGATAAACATGACTATCAATGCCACACGGAATAGACTTTAAGAAGAAGAACATCAGACTTCAATACGTGTAGTTACAAAGACGATGGATGGTTGGCTATGACACTTGTGTGACAAGATGGTTGGTTGCCGTGACAGATCTGTGACTAGATGGTTGGTTAGTTATAACAGTTCTGTGATAAGATGGGTGGTTGGCTTTGACAGATCCATGGCAAGATGTGTAGTTGGCTGTGCCAGATCCATGATAAGATAGCTACGACAGATCTGTGGCGAAAGGGGTAATTAGCTATGAACCTTCTGTGACAAAATGGGTTGTTGCCTAGGACAAATCTTTGACAAAATAGGTGGTTTGCTATGACAGATCAGATCTGTGACAAATGGGTGGTTGGCTATGATAGATCTGACAAAATGAGTGGTTTCGCTGTGACAGTTCTGTGGCAAAAAGGGTGGTTAGCTATGACAGTTCTGTGACAAGATAGTTGGTTGACTATGACAGTTCTGTGACAAGATGGTTGGTTGGCTATGTCACTTCTGTGGCAAGATGGATATGACAGTTTGGTGGCAAGATGGCTGGTTGGCTTTGACAGTTCTTATGCAAGATGGGCGGTTGGCTATGACAGTTTGGTGGCAAGATGAGTGCTTGATTATAACAGTTCTGTGACAAGGTTGGCTTTGACAGTTCTTATGCAAGATGGGCGGTTGGCTTTGACAGTTTGGTAACAAGATGAGTGGTTGATTATAACAGTTCTGATGCTAGATGGGCAGTTGGCTATGACAGTTTGGTGGCAAGATAAGTGGTTGATTTTGATAGTTCTGTGGCATTGGCTTTAACAGTTCTTTGATAAGAATCTTGTCATGTTGATTGACCCATGCTCCTTCCAGATGAAAAGTTGTCAGAGGGTACAGGGAAATAAACTGGGCAGGCCACAGCAGAATTTGAAATGACTTTAAGGTGGTGGTCGTTGTCCTCTCTTGAATGCATGCATAAATCCATTTCTCATGTTGGTTTTGGGTCCCATTGTGGGGAAAACAAGAATAGACCCCCTGCCTCCCCAACAAGCATGTTGTTGGAGTCAACTAACTGGGGGCTTCCTTCAAAGTCGGAGTGCATCTGCCAGAGAGGCCAGGAACAAACAGTCTGCATGCAAATCAGCAAGATCTGTAAAACAGATGAGCGTGCAAAACAGGTCTTGGAACAGAGCCAGAAATGGATGAGCAACCAGGTCTTTCTGCCGGGGTTTACAGCCAGTGAACGCAAACAACAACAAACAAATCCATATGACTAAACAGATTTCTCCTTGGATCTAAAATCCAGCATCCATCCACCTAAAAGATCCACTCCTGGGATCACCCACCTAAGAATAAAATTACCTGAGATCGACCTGACGGACGGATGACTGTTCCAGCATTCATCCACTTAAATATGACTATTCCTGGATCCATTCAGCTAACAGGTGACTATTTATGGATCCATTCAGCTAACAGGTGACTATTTATGGATCCATTCAGCTAACAGGTGACTATTTATGGATCCATTCAGCTAACAGGTGACTTTTCCTGGATCCATTCAGCTAACAGGTGACTATTCCTGGATCCATTCAGCTAACAGGTGACTATTTATGGATCCATTCAGCTAACAGGTGACTATTCATGGATCCATTCAGCTAACAGGTGACTATTTATGGATCCATTCAGCTAACAGGTAACTATTTATGGATCCATTCAGCTAACAGGTGACTATTTATGGATCCATTCAGCTAACAGGTGACTATTCCTGGATCCATTCAGCTAACAGGTGACTATTCCTGGATCCATTCAGCTAATAGGTGACTATTCCTGGATCCATTCAGCTAACAGGTGACTATTCCTGGATCCGATCAGCTAACAGGTGACTATTCCTGGATCCATTCAGCTAACAGGTGACTATTCCTGGATCCAATCAGCTAACAGGTGACTATTCCTGGATCCATTCAGCTAACAGGTGACTATTCCTGGATCCCTTCAGCTAACAGGTGACTATTCCTGGATCCATTCAGCTAACAGGTGACTATTCCTAGATCCACCCAGCTAACAGATGACTATTCCTAGATCTACCCAGCTAACAGATGACTATTCCTAGATTCACCCAGCCTAACAGATAACTATTCATAGATCCACCCAGCTAACAGATGACCATTCCTAGATCCATACAGCTAACAGATGACTATTCCTAGATCCACCCAGCTAAAAGATGACTATTCATAAATCCATTCACATTAAAAAAAAGGAATGAATTGAAACAGCATTACAAAACTATTTTACTATAACAACACAAATTTCAGTTTTGATATCACATGTTTAGTCAGTTTGATGCAATGTAGTTAATTTTTACAAAAATTACATTTGTTAGTCACCTTTGCATTTAACTCTTTCTGAACAAAGCAACTCACCATGTATTCCTTGTTGAGTTCAAAGAAAGTTGTTTAGTTTGAAACTTTTTCTATTACTTCTTCTTCTTTGCGTTTGGTTTCGTATGCTCAGATCAAACCATCAGCTGAGTTACCTCTATGAACTTGCTTGTCAGTAGCAGGTCCTTCATGGTTCCCCATAGCTTGCTCTTGAGGCCAGGTGTCTTTTCGAAGTTGTAGGTAGAGTGGGCAGGTCTGCAGAATGTGCTCAAGTGTTTATGGTCCTGTCTGACAGGCACACTTTGGGGACTGTACAATCTTTATTTTATGCATGTGGTAGCTGAGCCTGCAGCATCCTGTTCGTAGACAGGAAATTGTTGTATGTTGCTTTCTGTTGAGTCTGCTGATGGGGTCTTGTGAATGTTTACTGTTAGTTTTTTCTCTCACCACAATTCTTTGTATTTTCCTTTGATAAGTGTTCTGATTTCTGGTAATGACAATGAATGGGCGTGGTGTTTCTCCTTTGTTCCGTTTTTTGCAAGTCTGTCTGCTAACTCATTTCCTGGTATGCCGCAGTGAGCCGGGATCCACTGGAGAACGATTTGATTGTTTTCTGTTTAAGAAATGTGGACACAATCATTCAGTCAGCAGGTCTTCTACAGACTTTCGCTCTCTTCATGGCACGCCTGAAAGTCTTTCTCTAGCCAGTTCTCCAGTCCTGTTTGCTTCCATAGCCATTGCATCTTCTATGTCCTGTATCTATCTTCACGGAGGTCAGCATCTGCCTTGTTTTCTGAAAACTGCATCCTGCCTAACAGTTCTCTTTAGACCACCATGACACCTGGCATGGTCAAAATACCCCAGCTTTCAGGGCAGAATGCTTTTTATGAGCCAATTCTCCTTGATGTTCAGATCAGGCAGGATGTCAGTGTTTTTTTTCTTGGTCCATGGTATTCTAAGAATACTTTTGTAGCATTTTAGTTAAAAAGCTCTGAGTTTTTCTTTACAAGTTGAAT